AACTCGAGTTTAAACTTAAAAGAACATGAACTCGAATAAAGTTGTAACTGGAGTTGCATATTTTTGAGTTTTTCACTCAAACGAACAAGCCCTAAGTTTTGAAGTGTTTTTTGAGTTTTTGCTTCTTTTTTGTCTAGCCTTTGGTGCTTGTTTGTCCTTTTTGGCTCTCTCCTGTTATTTTAATTTTTTCCCCTTAAGAGGATGAGATCTCATCCTCTGCTTCCTTTGTATTGATTTAATTGTATCGCATTTTATCAATAAAGGTCCTGTTTATTATCAAAAATATAGATATACTGATCAGATGAAAAATATAGAGACGCCTCACATACCTTAAAAATAATGACATCAATCCACTATATCCAAGTAATGCTTGGAAAGTTGAAGCTATAATTACAGCCCCCTGTAGCTCCTTCATAATATGCTTGAAACTCTGCCCACGTTAAATGATTTTATCAGATCTCAACTAAACTTTAATAGATAAACAGGCTTACAAAAGTCAATTATTGGTAAAGTTACAATGACACTTGAAACAAAAAACAAAACAAAACAAAAGACACAAAAAAGTTTTGAAGAAATTTAAAAGATTTGTACTATTTTCTTCCTAAAAGAAAGCAGAGATTCATTATGTTTCTTCGACTAACAAACTGAGTACAGTTAGTTTCATCCAACTTATACAGGGAACACGAAAGTTCCAAAGACGATCCCACATGAGAAATGTTTATACAGTCAACTTGCTTGAAAGTGTTCTATGATTTCATGTCCTCTGATGTTAAATTATGTTATACCCATTCAAGGAACTTGACCTCTAAGCAAGGAAGTTGATACTCCAACAACTTATTCTACTCTTTTGAAATATAAATATAAACCCCAACTGGAAAGATTCAGCTATTCAATATGTCAACCTATTCAACGGTTCCTCCAATTGACCCTATAGTTGATGTTTTTTCTTTTGCTGCAGAAAACCTCCCAGTAAACACGGATGCATAATTACTCTTTTAGGTCGAATCATAAAAAGTTTTTTCAACATAGCGGAGATAAATACAACTCAAAAGAACCATAGCGTAGTGGCATATCAATGGTTATCAAAAGCGTAAGAATTGAAACATACATTTCCATTGAGTCCTCGAAATTCCGGGGAGTTGATAATTGCTAAGGCAGGAGCCAGGTAAACAAATGATGGACCTTGTATCAAGGGTAACCTCGAACCTAAAGACGTATGCAACAGCGTGGTTACTCCAGACACAAAGAGCACTGTTGATACCATATCCGCAGTGTCCTCCTACACCCACTAAATCTAGTCAGATCAATCCACCCACACTGTATCATGATCAAAGAGACATAAATATGTGAAAAAAATTCAAGGAATTATAATAACAACTCACAGGGGTGCCACCCATTGCGGGAGCCATGACAAGAGGAATGAGAATCAATGAACCCAGTATCGACAGGTAGTGCTGGAACCCATATAGACCAATTGGAACTGAAATCATACGCATAAAATAAATTAGAAATTGAATATACGTTGCTTACTTGCTTTCATTCTCTTTCTCGCTCTCTAATTAAATTTTTTTATTCATTTTTAGCTCCTAAAATGATCCCAACAAAGAAATGAGCCGCCATAATTTTCAATAAATCCAATCAAAGCAACGAGTTTTACACAATGTCCTCTTTGAATAATCTCCTAATAAACTATAAACATCTCCTTCCAAAATATTTAAAGAGATGTAATACTAAGCAAAATCTCACCAAGCCAGGTGTATCTCAAAGCCCACACTTCATATAGACATGAACTGATATATGGATTTTTTTTAACAAAAAAATGGCCATATTTCCATTTTTTTTTCTTTTAGTAATTCGTATGCTTTGAAAGTATAAAATTATCAACATCATCTCCGAATGGTCATACAATAAATAAATAAATAAAACAGAACTTTCACGAAAACCAGACACATCAAAACACCAAATGCCCGATCTAAAGTTATCCATAAAGTGAACCTTAAAAAACAAAAAGAAAAAAAAAAAGAGTATCTTCCTTTTTTTTTTCTTTTTTTTCTCTCTCTAAAAACATTCAAAGACTGGGAAAGTGTCAAACAAAAAGCCATACTACTGTTTCACAATAGCTCGAAGCCATCCATCACAAAAGAAAAATTGAAAAAAAAAAAAA